CCCCCCCCAAATGCATATTGTTCATTTATCACTTAGAAAATGGGATGAAAATGTAGCAAAATATAGTATGGCTCTAAGATGCTTCTTCAGTAAAGACATGGTTTCAACAAGTGTCAATCATACCATTACAGAGTCACTGTGGCCCATCAAGTTAGAAGTGAGCCTATATTTTAAATTTATAAGTTTATCATTTAGAATTTGTGATTAAACATCAATGGCACAACACAGAACTGAGGTGCGAGAAAATTTGATTTGCTAATAAATTTGGAGGATTCATGTTTAACTAAGAGAAATAAGCTGCCTTTAATAAAAATAATTCTCTAATTACAGGTAAATGGAAACTGCTAGGTACAGAACAACCTAATTCCTTCATTAATACAGGGCTACTATTCTATGTAAACAGCCCACAATATGAGATAATCTTTAAAAATTAAATTGGTACAGAGATTTACAGGAAAAAAATTTACTTTGTTAGGGTGCACACAAGAAGCAAAAATGCTCAGAGAATACCATAAAAAACATATTCTGGACCTAATCTAAAAAAAATAGAACAACTGAGAAGTGTTCTCAAAGATTGGATTTTAGAAGACATGAAGATATCTTTAAGTATTCTCACTTTGTTTCAATGGTGAGCTCACAATCAAAGTCATGGGCATGCAATGTAAAAACTTTTCTTTTTTAAGCAATAAAGTCAGTCACGTGGTTCAATATCATTAATGCAGCAAAACATTTTATATTTCCAAAGAATATAGGTATATATTTCAGATTGCTATGAACAGCTCAGAAACTTCTATTGAACCCATTTAACACACTGGTACCTTTCATGTTTAAATTCAAGATTAAATTAACAGTATCAATTACACTGCTGGGTATCTGATGCTAAATCCACAGACCCTCTGATTTCTCTCTCAAAGCACCAGGGAGACTTACGATGTAGCTTTCCAGCAGCAGCTCCACTGAGTCTCTCCTCCCGTACTTGATGATCCAAGATTTCAGCTTTGACTCTGCAAGAACCAGCAGTGAGAGCAGACGGTACTTTAATTCTAGAAATTCCATTTTCATCAAGTGTAGTTCTGATGTGGAAGAAACAAAATGAAACCTAGAAATAAAACACGGAGAATTCACAGGATGTAACTAATGGTAACAGAACGGCGCTTACTGAACCTGTTACAGTCAGTGTTGAATATAATGCAGGAGGGTCTTCTAAACTCAGGCTGATGGACCACTGTCTGGATATTGGATTCGTGTCCTGGCTCTGCGTTTAAAGGCAAATCACAATTGACTGAAGTCTCTGATTTAGCTCTTTCCCCGGCCAACACCTCTCATCCGTTCCTTTTATGAACTGTTCTTGCAATATTACATAATGTTCCTCCCTGAATAAAAACACAGCCTCTGAAGAAACCACTTCTGTGATTTCCAGCTCTGAATACATGCAGGTTTACTTTTTTCAATTATCAACACATCAGAAAGCTGGCATCCTTAAGCATATGTTATAAGAACCCAATTTTACTGTGCTAAATGTAAGCATTTCTGTAAAAAAATGTATAAATTCATTAAAAAGAAAAGAAATGGAAAAAGCATTCACCAAGCCTTCTAAAAAGAGACTCCCTGGAAGGCATCCTCTTACCTCTCGGCCATGTCCTCTAATTGATCAGGTGGCACCGGGATTCCATTCACAGACCTGGTCCGGTAGATCTCATGGAAGGCTCTTTTGTGGGCATCTGTGTTTTGAAGCAGATCCTAAGATACAATTTTTTAAAAAAAGGAAGAGAGAATGAGGCAACATGTTCACAGGAGGCTGGGAAGCATCCTTCTCAGCCTGCACCGATGAGTCAATGTGTTCCACAATTTGATGCCTCGGCCACATGCACACGCGGCTCGGTGCCCCTCACAGGCTCTGCCCTGGTACAGGAGCCTGTGCTCGTCTGTAAGGCCCCGGGCTAGCGCTGCATCTGACAATTATGGCATCTTTTAAGCACACATGCCATCTGCACGGCGATGCATTCACTCATTTTAAAGGTACATGGTCCAAAGGAAAATGCAATTATTGCCATAAACAATGATTGGGGGTATTTTTCTCCTTCCTCGAATTTTAGATACGTTGGTTTTTAAAAGCTTAAAACTAAGCACAACTAATTTAACCATTTCATGGCAAAAATATTAGACTCTATTATTATTTTATTTTGAATGCATGCAAGCTATCATAAAGTGATATTTGCCTGCCATCTAAAGTAAGTCGATCATGTTACAATATATTATGAAAATACCCTTAAGGTTAAAAGATTTCAAATAAGCACAGGGAATTTCCCGTAGGTCTCATGTGTTATATTTATAAGTATTCTTTGTAGACTGTATAGAAGCCTAATTTGAATAATTTATTTAGATTAATTTGAATCTCCCTTGATTTGTGTTCTGAGATTTTCACTGTCAACAGACTTATTTATATAAAGACTTACACAAATTTCACAGTTCCTAGCCAATTGCAAAGAAAGACAGAGATGAAAACTTCATGCCATATTTTCTATACCTTAGTTTATTTCTCAGTAGCACAATAAATACTCAACAGTTTGTCATTCACTGCAGAGTAAGACACATTAGCCCACCAGAATGATGTGTTTAAATGAATATTGTTTCTCTCACATGGGAATTTAGTGGATTAATTATAGAAAATAGAAGCAAAAAAGAGTCTAAAGCCAAATGAGAAACACTGGATGGAAGAGAAAAACTGTAAGGCTCTCAGGTTCTAAATTAAAATGTTAAAGTCATATGTATTTGTTCACATAAGTGAAATTAATTTTGAGGGGGAGGCATTAATTTTTACATTGTAGAAAAAGCCAGAGGCAAACTATTTCTATCCTGATATATTTTGCTGTAACTACATTTTAAACTGCTTTTAATCTGTAAGTAACAGATACTCAGAAGTCGCTCTTGCCTAGAAAGCAGGCAAGACGTGCAACCAAGCTGAGCAAGACGACAGAGGACTGTCCTAGAACAGCTATTGCATTTTAGCCACTCTCTACCTCCTTTCTATTAAGTGAATGATCTTGGCTGAGACTCCCCGAAGTGACCTCGGGGCAAACTTAGAGCAGCCACCACACCCAGCTCTGATGTGTTGCGCGTGACTATATGTTAATGTTTGGGTGGCAGCCTGTGACGGTATTGTAAAACCCAAAAGTTCAGTTGCCTTCTAAGAAGGTTTCCCTGCTATAGTTTTAAGTATCTAGTTCCTTGAGAAAACCTTGACAAGATACTGGAACAAACCAAAACATTTTCAAACCTATGATAGAAGAGCTACAGCCGGCATGGTGTCACTGGTTCTCCTGAAAGGCTGCCTCACTCTAAAACGGCCAGATGCTGAGCATAGCATGTGACTAATTCCCTGGTGAGTTCACAGCAAGTCAGGGAGAGCTTCTAGGTCTCCTACTCTCAGTAAAACATGACCCCAAACTGGATCACAGACCTGTGACCAAAAACAATGTGAAGAAGCTGATCGTACCAAGCAAAAATCTATACCTTGCTGCAGGAGATTTTGTCTTGGAATTTGCATAAGGTGAGAACACCTGCAACTTAGACTCCTACATTTAGCCAGAACCCTGAAGATGTTGCTGTGGGCTTTCAAGGAAAATACAGGAGGAAAGCAAAGATCCCTACACACAGGGAACAAGCCACCATGACTGAGAATCAGCAGAAACAGCAAGTTTACAGTATTAGAAAAAACTCAGTAATTTAACACTGGACAACAACAGCTTGTAAGTTAGGAAGAGAATGGTGTGGGTTAAGTGTTCCTAAGTCCTTACATTGATTAAGAGGAGGTCAAGATATTAACTTTCAATTTTGTTCAGGATCCATGGCAACTCTACCTGGATTATTGAAACTGGTTCATTGGCTCCTACCCTCTATCCCTAACCCCATCTATTCTCACACAGCAACCAGGATGATACCATTAAAATAGTGATAATATCATTTCTCTGGTAAGAAAGTGGGTGGGCAAAGATGGTTAGGATATGACAGAGAAAATCAACTATGCCAAATGTGCAATTACTGAGAATGAGAAGGTGCAAACAAACAATATGGGCAAAAATAGGGGCTTAACCATAGGCACAGAAAAGATTACCAAAAAATAGAAGAGAATACTTTGAACAATTTTAGGACAAAGATTTTGAAAACTTAGTCAAATGGACAAATTCTTAGAAAATGTCAATGAGCAAGATTGACCCAATTAAAAATTTGGAAGCCTGCATATTTCTAAAACCATTTTCAGAAGCTGGGAATACAAGAGAGAAGNATTGGATTCGTGTCCTGGCTCTGCGTTTAAAGGCATATCACAATTGACTGAAGTCTCTGATTTAGCTCTTTCCCCGGCCAACACCTCTCATCCGTTCCTTTTATGAACTGTTCTTGCAATATTACATAATGTTCCTCCCTGAATAAAAACACAGCCTCTGAAGAAACCACTTCTGTGATTTCCAGCTCTGAATACATGCAGGTTTACTTTTTTCAATTATCAACACATCAGAAAGCTGGCATCCTTAAGCATATGTTATAAGAACCCAATTTTACTGTGCTAAATGTAAGCATTTCTGTAAAAAAATGTATAAATTCATTAAAAAGAAAAGAAATGGAAAAAGCATTCACCAAGCCTTCTAAAAAGAGACTCCCTGGAAGGCATCCTCTTACCTCTCGGCCATGTCCTCTAATTGATCAGGTGGCACCGGGATTCCATTCACAGACCTGGTCCGGTAGATCTCATGGAAGGCTCTTTTGTGGGCATCTGTGTTTTGAAGCAGATCCTAAGATACAATTTTTTAAAAAAAGGAAGAGAGAATGAGGCAACATGTTCACAGGAGGCTGGGAAGCATCCTTCTCAGCCTGCACCGATGAGTCAATGTGTTCCACAATTTGATGCCTCGGCCACATGCACACGCGGCTCGGTGCCCCTCACAGGCTCTGCCCTGGTACAGGAGCCTGTGCTCGTCTGTAAGGCCCCGGGCTAGCGCTGCATCTGACAATTATGGCATCTTTTAAGCACACATGCCATCTGCACGGCGATGCATTCACTCATTTTAAAGGTACATGGTCCAAAGGAAAATGCAATTATTGCCATAAACAATGATTGGGGGTATTTTTCTCCTTCCTCGAATTTTAGATACGTTGGTTTTTAAAAGCTTAAAACTAAGCACAACTAATTTAACCATTTCATGGCAAAAATATTAGACTCTATTATTATTTTATTTTGAATGCATGCAAGCTATCATAAAGTGATATTTGCCTGCCATCTAAAGTAAGTCGATCATGTTACAATATATTATGAAAATACCCTTAAGGTTAAAAGATTTCAAATAAGCACAGGGAATTTCCCGTAGGTCTCATGTGTTATATTTATAAGTATTCTTTGTAGACTGTATAGAAGCCTAATTTGAATAATTTATTTAGATTAATTTGAATCTCCCTTGATTTGTGTTCTGAGATTTTCACTGTCAACAGACTTATTTATATAAAGACTTACACAAATTTCACAGTTCCTAGCCAATTGCAAAGAAAGACAGAGATGAAAACTTCATGCCATATTTTCTATACCTTAGTTTATTTCTCAGTAGCACAATAAATACTCAACAGTTTGTCATTCACTGCAGAGTAAGACACATTAGCCCACCAGAATGATGTGTTTAAATGAATATTGTTTCTCTCACATGGGAATTTAGTGGATTAATTATAGAAAATAGAAGCAAAAAAGAGTCTAAAGCCAAATGAGAAACACTGGATGGAAGAGAAAAACTGTAAGGCTCTCAGGTTCTAAATTAAAATGTTAAAGTCATATGTATTTGTTCACATAAGTGAAATTAATTTTGAGGGGGAGGCATTAATTTTTACATTGTAGAAAAAGCCAGAGGCAAACTATTTCTATCCTGATATATTTTGCTGTAACTACATTTTAAACTGCTTTTAATCTGTAAGTAACAGATACTCAGAAGTCGCTCTTGCCTAGAAAGCAGGCAAGACGTGCAACCAAGCTGAGCAAGACGACAGAGGACTGTCCTAGAACAGCTATTGCATTTTAGCCACTCTCTACCTCCTTTCTATTAAGTGAATGATCTTGGCTGAGACTCCCCGAAGTGACCTCGGGGCAAACTTAGAGCAGCCACCACACCCAGCTCTGATGTGTTGCGCGTGACTATATGTTAATGTTTGGGTGGCAGCCTGTGACGGTATTGTAAAACCCAAAAGTTCAGTTGCCTTCTAAGAAGGTTTCCCTGCTATAGTTTTAAGTATCTAGTTCCTTGAGAAAACCTTGACAAGATACTGGAACAAACCAAAACATTTTCAAACCTATGATAGAAGAGCTACAGCCGGCATGGTGTCACTGGTTCTCCTGAAAGGCTGCCTCACTCTAAAACGGCCAGATGCTGAGCATAGCATGTGACTAATTCCCTGGTGAGTTCACAGCAAGTCAGGGAGAGCTTCTAGGTCTCCTACTCTCAGTAAAACATGACCCCAAACTGGATCACAGACCTGTGACCAAAAACAATGTGAAGAAGCTGATCGTACCAAGCAAAAATCTATACCTTGCTGCAGGAGATTTTGTCTTGGAATTTGCATAAGGTGAGAACACCTGCAACTTAGACTCCTACATTTAGCCAGAACCCTGAAGATGTTGCTGTGGGCTTTCAAGGAAAATACAGGAGGAAAGCAAAGATCCCTACACACAGGGAACAAGCCACCATGACTGAGAATCAGCAGAAACAGCAAGTTTATAGTATTAGAAAAACTCAGTAATTTAACACTGGACAACAACAGCTTGTAAGTTAGGAAGAGAATGGTGTGGGTTAAGTGTTCCTAAGTCCTTACATTGATTAAGAGGAGGTCAAGATATTAACTTTCAATTTTGTTCAGGATCCATGGCAACTCTACCTGGATTATTGAAACTGGTTCATTGGCTCCTACCCTCTATCCCTAACCCCATCTATTCTCACACAGCAACCAGGATGATACCATTAAAATAGTGATAATATCATTTCTCTGGTAAGAAAGTGGGTGGGCAAAGATGGTTAGGATATGACAGAGAAAATCAACTATGCCAAATGTGCAATTACTGAGAATGAGAAGGTGCAAACAAACAATATGGGCAAAAATAGGGGCTTAACCATAGGCACAGAAAAGATTACCAAAAAATAGAAGAGAATACTTTGAACAATTTTAGGACAAAGATTTTGAAAACTTAGTCAAATGGACAAATTCTTAGAAAATGTCAATGAGCAAGATTGACCCAATTAAAAATTTGGAAGCCTGCATATTTCTAAAACCATTTTCAGAAGCTGGGAATACAAGAGAGAAGAAAACAGACAATGATCTTGCCCTTATGGAGAGGACACAACAGTACAGGAAATCAAGCAATACATAAGAAAAATAATTAAAATAGCAGTTAAGCTGAAGAGGGAAAGGGAGCTGTAACTCTAAAGAGGTGGCCAAGAAAGTATTGACTAACAGGTGACCTTTCAATAAAGGCCTGAAGGAGACAAAGAAGCACACAATGGGAATATCAGTGGGAGAATGTTTCAAGTCACGGGGAGAGAACATCCCAGAATGGTGGCAAAAGCAAAGGCCTTGAGATGGGAATGTGCTTGCCTGTGTGATGTCATCTTTTCTGTGCGCTTTCACTGATTACCCTACTTAAAAATGCAACACCACTTAATCCCTCCTGACCTCCTGTCCTTTCGGCTTCTAACATTTATTTATTGTGTTTTTTATTTCTGATCTCTGTCCTCCCACTAGAAGTTGTTACATAAGGATAGGGATTTCTGCCTATTTTGCTCATGGGTGTATCATAAATGCTTAGAGCACTGCTTTGCACATAACAAATATTTGTGGAAAGAGTAGAAAGGCAGGGCCAGAGGAGGAGAAAGAGAGCTAGGAAACCAAATGAAGAAAGTGCGTGAAGGATATAGAGATAACTATGTAAAATAATTCTGATAGCGATACCACTGTAATTAGCTAGTTATTAATAGGAAAGAAGCAAAGAGAAGGCCGGACATCATAGGCGAGTCATTTGGGTAGCTTCACCAGGAAGCTGCAGTTTCACACTCCCCATGGAATACACGCTTATTCCCTGCAAGACACTGGGGGAAGAAATCCAACCAAGAGAAAATAGAGACACATGCCCAATAAAGTTGGAGTGACACAGAAAAGGCACTTGCCGGTCAATCACAGCTGGGGACAGAGATGGTCGGTCAGAATGGGCGTGGCCACTGCAAGTGTGCCAGCATTTGGGAATATATAATCCCCTAAACATAGGGAATTTTCTCTCTCATTTCTTTTGTTGCTGGAGGTGCTTTCTCTCAGTTCTCTTGTGTTCGTCCTTATGGCCCACAGCCACGCAGGCCCCACACACAATGGACTAACGGACTATAGCGAGGAAACACAAGCTAAAGTAGCCTGATGCTGGACTGGACCCAGCTCCAACATGGAAAGGAGACTCCCGACACTAACTCTCATTTTAACTCTGCTAAAGTCCGAGCTACACTTCTTCTATGACTGGACTAAGGGAAATGGGAACTTGAAAACCAAGGGGTGTAATTCCACAGAAGTAAATCTTTACAATATCTCATTCTCCTGTGGGGGCCTCCAGAAATGCTTATTCCAGCGGTACCCCAAGAACCCTACCCTCATGAGCAACTGGGGAAGATGAGCCCTCTCTTATCCTGTAGCCATAGGGGAGGTAAATGAGGCCTGAGAATTGGCCATTGAGTGAGGATCACCGAGAACCCTCCTTGAGATGGATAGCATTCTAGGGAAAGTTTGGTTGGAATGGGTTCTGGGAAGAGCATTTTGAAACCAAAATGAAAGCACAAACACATTCCAAGAGCTTTCCGTCATAAAAGGAAAGAGAAAAATGGACAGTAGCTGAGGGCAAAGTATAGTTAAGAAAGAGACATTTTTTCCTCTTTATTTATTTATTTTTTAAGAAAGAGACTTTTTTTAGATAAGAGAAATAGCAGCATACTTTATGTAGGTAGGAAATACCCAGCAAAGAGAGAGAAAATAAAGGTGAGAACTACAGGAACTGTCCTTCGGAGAAGAGCAGGAAGGGTGGGCTCCAGGACACGTGCGGAGGGGTAGCTGTCGCTCGGGGCACAGATGGTTCACCCATAGTAACAGAAGTGAAGACAGAGTATTCGAGCACAGATGCATGTAGGTGGGACGCTATGGCCGTGGGAGCTAGTGGAAATTCTTTTTTGATTGCTTCTATTTTCCCAGAAAAATAGGAAGCCCTGTCATCAGCTAAGAGTAAGGATGGGGGAGGAGGTGTGGAAGGTTTAAGGAGACAAGGTATAAAATAGATGTCCCAGAAATGGAGAGGGAATGGGGTCAGGAAATGCCCTTGGAGTGCCAGGCAGCATGAAGGGCCCACCTGGGTTAGTCGTTGCACCGGGGAGTGTGCTTTTCTGCAGCCACAGTCAGCTGCATCTGTGTGGGCAGGAGCTAGGCAGAGAGAGGGCTTTAACCAGGGTTGTGCTCTACCCAGGAGAACAGGAGAGAAAGAGACCTGGACGAGGTGATCAGGATGTGTACAGGGAGTGACGTGAGTGACTGAGCATTGAATTTAAGCAGAGTACAAGGGACACTAACTGATGGCATGGAGAGGATGTGAGGCAGTGAAATAGTGCAATGAACGGACAATAAGGCACAGAGGAAATGAAGACTTGGGATTGGGGCAACTTCTGATGGACAGCGAGATGCTTGAGAGACTGTGAAGGGGTTTCAGTCACAGGTGATGACAAGGCCTAGACTATCCTACGCAGTGAGCGGCTAGGGTGGGGTGTAGGGCAGGATCGCTCAGAGAGGAGAGGCTAGGATATTGGAAAGATCATCTACAGGTTACTGACGTTATTGAAAATAATAGCTTGTGTTGTCATCCACAAGCTATTCAAGAAAGGAAGGAATGCAACCTAGGTAGGGCCGACGACCGCAATAAGGATGGCTAGAGTCTGATGACTCTTCTCACGATTCCTTGAGACTGAGAGCCTTATTTGTCAGAGCAATGCTGCTAATAAAAACTACATGTGTTATATGCAATAGTTTTGTGGGCACATTTTAGCTTAGTGCTTAAAAAATCCTGGATTATCAACTCTGTGACCTTGGGCAAGGCACATAACCTTTCTCCGCCTAAAGTTTACTTGTCTGCCAAGCAAGAACCTATTTCATATCCCGAACGGCAAGTGCTCAGCAAAAGGAAGTGCTTAGGACTAAAGGCTGGCTAAGTCCTCAAGTGTAATCAGCTATGATTAGTATTAAATTTCTAGATAACTGATCATCAGGGTATCTGAGAAAGGGCACAGATCACAGAGGTCTACCTTGTTTCCAAGAATAAGTATGTTTCGGCAGACACGTAAGTTAATTTTTTTAAAGTAATAAAAAACTTCGGTAGAAACGTCAAGTGAACTCCTTGAAAAAAATGTATTTAAAATGTATATGAATTCAATTTTCAGAAACTGCCTATGCATTAAGTAATGAAAGACTAAGTAATGTATTAAGTATTTAAAAATGTGAAGAACGCATAAAATCAAGAATTCTAAGCCTTGACAGCATATGTAAGTGTTCAGGGCACGAGCACAGTTACTTTTAGGCGGGGATGCGAGATAATGCTGTCATTCTTGCTCACGAAGCGATGAGTCCGATACTGTGCTTTTATCAATTTAGTGCATTTTCAACTGAGCCCAATATATCAGAGCAGCGTAATGATACCAAATTGATGGGCTGGTTTCTCTGCTATTGAGAAAATCTATAATTTTAGTCATCCTAACCGTGGTTCACATTTCTCACATCACCAAAGCTTAGCTTATTATAGGCACCTAATAAATACATTGTGAATGAATGAGAATTGATTTTATATTTGACAATTACACTGGTTTATGACTCTATGACTTCAAGTAGCTGTGCTCAGACCTAGTACAAGTTCCTACCTCGGTAAAAAGATCATTCTGGAGATTTTCCTTGAACTTCATCTTAGCCCCTACCCGCCTGTGCTCGCTTCCTATTGTCTCCTCACCCCAGGCCCTATCTTTCGATCTAGTCCTTTCTGGTTTTCAGCCTCAGATAACCATCATCTGTGACTTCTACCCCTCTCTTCCTCCCCATGCCACTTCATTTCTGGTTTTTATGGTTGTTTACTGCTCTTTGGCAGAGAGATGCTTCTGGCTGCACACTTAGTGGTTGGCACAGGGTCTCTCTCCCTCCAGGGAGCCAGAAGAGTCAGGAAGAACCTCAAATCATACAACCACTGAGACACACTAACAGCATGCCATCCAATTTAAATTCATTCCCCACCAGGGGCGGATGCTGCCTAGAGTGTACCCTGAATTAACATTCCTGCTAAATCTCACTAGCTAGTAAATAGCACAGTTAATATTGTAGGTCATTTTGTCTTTGGTGGAGCATTTCAGATGTTAAGTCTATTAGATAGACAATAAACACTGCTGTTTCTCAAACTTCTGGATTGGAGGCACCTTTACCAGTCTCCCTGGTGCCAAAAAACTGGCACATAGTAGGCCCTCAGTGCATATTGGCTGAACTGACACATTAACCCACAATCCATATGCATTCTACACTTGATTAAAACCCTAGTGGCTTCTTTTGTATGAAATAGTCACATCGGTTAAGAATTGTTTTAATTGTTACATGATTTACATGAAGAAAAAATTTTGAATTGTATTTAAGTTGAACCGCTAATTTGTTAAAGTGGTAGTATTTGTGTAACACTGCTTTAGCATTTTCCCTATTTTTTATACACCGGGAATCTCAACATGGACATGGTCCAGGCTTTTCTATGCTTCTGAGAAAACTTAACCTTGCCCAGATGCAGGAAAATCCTCGACTTGATTTCTTATCCCCCGTCTTCAGAGAACTAAAGTACAGACCAGCCTGGCAGGCACGGGCTTTATGTGTGTGTATCTCTAAAGAATGAGCAGCCCCCAAAGTCATGCTCTTGCCTGAGAGGCAGTTTCTAGGGAGGGGGGTGTGTGTGTGTGTGTGTGCTCGACCATGGTGGTGGTGGTCTGGTGGAGGGGAAAGGAGACTCAGTAAGAAATAATCAGCGCAACTAAAAGAGTCCGAAAGCACTGACTGTCAATGAAAAAAGGCCGAGAGTACTGGTGGCAGGACCCTGACCAACTATGTAGCATCACAAAATCGCGGTGTCAGTTTTGTTGGATGAGCTAGTCTGGGTTGAGTGAGCTGAGCGGAAAGGGCCAGGGGCTGAAATCCCATGACATCTCTATGCCTCTAGTTCCAAATATAACATTCGAGAGGGGCATGAAACCAAATCTGCTATGAATGCGCTCCTACTCGAGGGTATACAACAGTCTGTTTCCTTGGGGTACTTTACAAAATGTCACTAACACGGCAGAAAATACACATGAGCTATAAATGGCGCATGTGTGGTCAGGAGGAGAAACCTCTGCTTGTTGGCTTATTTTCCACGTTTACAGCAACTCTCACCACGAGACCGTGAATGGGGTACACAAGCTCAACTGCGCAAAATGCAGGACTACGTTCATGAAAAACACCCCTTCTAGTTAGTTCTGACCTGCTGCAAAACGCAAAGAGGAAGTGCGTTAGAACTTACAGTAAGCACAACTGAGCAGGAGTGAGCTAAAACATGTCACACATGACTAAGAGGTCATCAAGGCCTACTCCCACCACTTCCAAACACCACCCCCTGCACCGCCTCAGCACCCTGAGGACTTGGCTGGCCTCTCTTAGAAAATAGAGGCAGAAATGAGGCCTGGAGCCAATGGCCAATGACATTATTACATAAATGCATATAGTCTGTGGGCTTATCTTTTGAAAAATAACTTATAGCAACAGAAACAACAAAGATAACTGCAGATGGAATAGTGCCACAGAGCTACTAGAAAGTACCTCAGGGAACAAATCTACTGGACCTGTGATTAACAAGAACAGAAGAGGCACGCAGATCAGAGAACTTCTAAGAAGGCGCCACGTCTCTGAATCAATACGCATTGATTCGTACTGGAAGCCTGGGAAGCCCGGCCAGTCTAAGATCTAAACAGGCCACATCTGCAGAGGACACGCGGACTGTCAGGCTGGAAGGTCTCCTGGTCGGAATTCTTACCTTGTGTTGCTCACGCTTCCGCTGTATTGTGTCGGCCGTTTCCTCGTGGACCTGCTGGATGCTAATTTCCTCCCGCAGGGCCACCTCTGCTCTGTATAACCAGGCACCTATAGTGCCCAGAGGTGCGGGAAGAGATTTGTCGAGCTGTATATGCCAATCAAAGAGCTGAAATGCAAAAGTAGAAAAACAGAATTATCTCTAACACAGAAGGCAATTCCTAAAATTCCCCCAAATGATTTTAAAGTCTACATAAAGCTTTAAGTTAATCATTTCAGGTTAACTTAACAAATATCAAGTAAGAAATGATCTGTGCTCTGAATTGGATGCTTTCAGAACAGGTAGGAAATGACATTTACAAGCAAATTTTGAGGGAACTTAAAGTACATCCTAGACATGGAAGGATATTATTGGCAGCTTAAGGCATTTTCTTACAGCGAGAGCATGAAGCACCCACTGACTTGCAGGTTGGCTCTTGCCGAAAGGGAAGGGACCGGGATGCTGACGTGCTCAGGGATGCAGGAGCTTATGCACCAGCTCATGCGGATAGTCCTACAGGATGAGATCAGGTCAGACAAAGCAGGGTCCTCTAGACACCTCGGGGGGCAGAGAGGTATTCAGGATTCTTCTTATAAGAACATCATCCTCTCACCACCCCCGCATGTCTTACTTTATTCAGTCCCACCATTTCCCAGTTTGATGGAATGCCAAGTAGAATGCGGTACGGTGCTTGAAAACCATGCTATTCTTTGATAGAGTTTATGGGGGTAAATGGACAATAAAAATGAAAAAAATAGGGTAAGTTCAAGGCAAACAGTCCCATCAGTGAAAGAAATGTCAGAGTTTTTTGAAATCTTGGTCTTTAAGTTTGCAAAGTGTTAACATTTGAAGGCACTGAGCAGTTTTCCTTCAGGTTCATGAAAGACCAGATCAGGAGATATGTTAAATTAAGGAATATAAAAGTGAATGTGAATATGGGAAGATTATTAACTATTGATCAAACATGATTATGGGAAATAGAAAAATGGCGAAGGCTCCAATCCTAAACAACCCAGAATTCATCTGCGTAAAGCGAGATGTAACCCAGATGGTCTTCCAAGATTTCAGTCCCTCATCTGGTCGATGGTGACATCACGTGTAGGGCAGGCAAGGCAGGAAAAGGGTTGTTAGACAAGCGCTGCCGTTAATTTAAAGGACAGATTCTCCCACAGTTAGGCTTTTCTGCCCCAGACAGAGGCAGAAGGACCTGATGCAATACCACTGTTTAGACAAGGGTGATGGAAAATATTCTTGACTAAATGATGTGAGCCCTGATGAAATGGGCGGCGGGAGATCTTACCCGAGAGGACACTCTATCCCAGGCCTGCTTTACCAATGCTTGGTCAAGTGACAGTTTACCGTCTCTTTGCAGTGGTTGCATTAGATGTTCAATTTGTTTCCTTTTCATTTCATATTGAACCCTGAAGTGCTTGAATGACTAATAGAGGAAAAACAGCAACAACATGGCAATGAGTCAAAAAAAAGCAAAAGCAAAGGAAACCACATTTCCTAAATAACAATCTTTTATATTTGGATAACACTCAATATATGTTGTTGAAAATAATAATGACAGACATAAAACTAACAGCAGCTACCGTTCAGCATGCTCTGACCACGAGCCTGGCCCCACGCCGAGTGCTTTCTACACATTTTACACTGAATAAACATATCTTAAAATGTGACTCCAGGTCCAAATATGAAAGGAAAATACCACTAATATGTGCAGTTATGTTAAAGACCGTGAGAATGGCCCTAAAGAATCTAACAGATAGCAAACACACCCAAAAGAATTTCTTAGAGTAAACGAACGTGTAAGTCCACAGGAGGAACACTGGGGGGAGATGGTGAATAAATGTTTTACCACAGTTACCTCCCATTCCTCTAACTTAATGCAATTTAAAAATACCAAAATATAAAATCAATCTTCAATTTTATTCCACAAATTCCATGCATGGAAAAACTGGAAAATACACTTATTGGTTGAAAAGTAGAAACAGATAGGAAGTGCTGATGACACATAAACCCACAAACAAAAGAAAATGTTCCCTATGTTCAAATATCAGATGGTCTCAAACCCTATTTTATGAAACTGGTGATCATCTTTGGCCCAAAAGGAGTGTTCCTGTTTTGTACCTTCCTAATCCTGTGGTTCTCTTTTATAAAATAGTACCTGTAAAACAGGTAACTTTATAACTTGAAATGTAGTTTTTTGACAATTTATGCTCAAACTAAAACTCACTAATGGACTAAATAAGCATATCCACTCTGTTCTTGCACTTCTATTCCCAATTTACTAGTTTAAGAAATTTTTTTTTAGTGGAGCTCATCCCAGAAAATTGTATTTTTGGGAAAAAAGATTCCATTGAATTTCAAAGCAAAAAAGGGTATACTTCATAGAAGCACATATTGTCCACTCTGCCAAGTTCGTCAAATATAATGCTGACGGCATCATCCCTCTAAATCCGGGCACACTTATGGGTACGATTACGTGAAATCACACCCTAATGTGATAGCTAACTCTGATTGTTTGCCATGTTGACTCTCACATCATGGGACCTTTTTGGTCACGAAAATGATTGACAATATAATATAGACTAGAGTATATTGTAGCTTTGCTACTCACATGCAATGCTATTTTAAATCGGGGAAAATGTCAGTGCTGCATAGAATAAATCACAATGTAATTGGAAAACCCGTTATATGATTTTGTGCCTTGGAAATGGAAACTGGAAGCCAAAATCCAACTAATAACAGTGTAATAGGACTGGGGGAAACAACAAGGACCCTGGCCTCCACCTGAATGAGATAGTGTTGACCTAGGCAGGTCATGGTAGAAACTGATCCCATCAATGGGGCCACTGCAAATATTTCTGGTGCAATCCTTTATTCAATTCAGCTTCTTCTACAGTCATTTTCAGTATGGTGCTGAAGTGCTTTTTTTGGTGGACTTCTTTGTTGTTATGTGACATCTACAAGATCATGAGTCTAACAGAAACAAAACTAGGTATTTGTGTTCTGGGTCTTATAAGACTGAGTTCTAGAAATTCATTAAGCCTTGGAGCTGTATACACAGTGTAGATCCATACAATTTAAAACTACTTATTTACATAGACATACAGTTATTAAATTACATGCAAACAAGATAATGCACATGATTTCTTTATGGATTTTTTTCATTAATAACATCTGAAAGATTAAACACAGACTAAATGACATGTATGAATCTTACACAAAGCTTTTAAAAACTGAAAACTATTTCATACATTACCTGATATTTATCCTGCAAATTGGATTCTGTCATCTGTGCCCTTGTCAAATCTCTTTCAAATTGTTCTATCCAAACTTTCATTTCCTTCAGAATTAGCCTGTCTTCTCTCTAGAAACCAGCAGATGTTACAATTTTATCAGTAACTGTGCATTTATTTAGTTGCTGGTTAATACCAGACTGAACTTAAAATAGACTTAGTAAGTTTCAGTTGTCTTTGAAAAGGTTTCCCTCTCCCCACTCTCACCCCTTATGTAGAGGAAAAAAAAAAAAAAGGAGTTAATTCTGTAAAAATATATTAATTTTCTTTGACTACTGAAATTATCTCTTTCTCAAAAAACACTGATTTAACTAAGAAAATATCTGCAAGACAGGAATGTCCTAAGTAAAAAAATTACTCAGACCAATAGCTGGAATGGGACTAGAAACATAGGCCTGTGGTTGTTTCTTAACCCAAGGCCGCTGGTAACCCAGAGCACTATTCTGGGTGAGATTAACCTTGACCGAGTTCAAGAAGCTACAGTCACAATAACATCAGACTACTTGTGTATATTATTCAGTGTTATAAGCTCCATGTGAACAGAAAACAATTTCCCTTGTTCTATGTGGTATTTCTAGACCCTGGCAACATGGTACCTATAAGATATTTACTAAATTATATGCTGAATAAATGCCTCTAGGACACCACTCTCATCTCAAAAATGAGAAAAAAAAAAAAGGAGATTTACATGCCATTCTAGCACTGAATTAGTGACAATATCCTAATTTTTCATCAAGATTTCTTATCTGGTAAAAAAGCCAAAGTAATCATAAACATATTGAACATGATTTTTTGGCACTTACAAAGAACTTTCAACTATAGCATCTCACTTGATGATCGCAGCCCTGTGACAGAGATAAAATTGTCTCTACTGAAGGTGAAGGGGCAGAGTAGAAAGTGCTGGCTATAGAGGCAGGAAAAACTGTTACAAATCCTGGTTTTGACATGGATTATCCTGGGGGCCTTAGGCGCACCTTTTTTTTTTTTTTTTTTT